GCGTGGTGTGGTAATCCTCTAAATTCACATTGACATTTATACTGAAGAATTCCGTGGGGTTGGACATTTTTGTGCCTGAGTTATTTTTAACTAAAACTTTTAAGTGTCGTTTATTTGGATCGTTATAAGAATCTATAAGAATTGTTTCTTGAAACACAGCTGAAATAAAATTGTGCATAAATATTTGATGAAAAAATTAAATTACTCAAATGAAACTTAGAAAAAAAACTTACATGAAAATTAGAAATGTTGACTTGGCAACTAAATGAAATAAAATAAGTTTATGTTGAGGAACTTAAATTACTAAACTAATACTGAAATAAAAATGAACTCTTAATAAAAACAAAAATTACAAAATCACATAACAGAATTACTCAAAATACAGAGTTCTGGCATGAAACTCTAGATGGCGCAGTCCGATAGGTCTAGCTCAATCTGACCTGGCAACATCATTGTCACATGGCAGCTGATTGGTTCTCTCCTGAATCGGTAGCCAATGAGCTTACTGCTCAATATTCAAATACCTGGCTTCTGTTTGCTGTAGCAATTTGCAGCGCACTTCAGAAACCCTCTACCTTCCCCAGCTCCACCTGTATAGATCTGCTACGGCGTGATTCATGTATGCTATATGGGGGTTATTCATATGTGTTATATGTGCAGCAGCAGTATTTCTTACATGCTTACAGCAGCATGTTGTGGATGTATTGGCAGTAGCAAGTCTCGGTACTTGCTCTGCCGCAGCAGCAGCAGCGTAGCAGATCTATTCCGCCAAGACCAAACACATTAACATTGTCATGTACATTACCATGCCAATCCCTCCGAGAGTTGTCATGACAGAACTAAAATTAAATTCAAAACTGAAAATATAAAAATAAAAGCTAAAACGTTATTTAAGTAATAGTAGTAATAATAATAATTTAATAATAATAATGTAATGATAGTAGATCAGTAATACTAAATTTTTTGTGCATGTTACAAAATATTTCCATTTAAAAAATGTTATAAAATAAATGAAAATATAAAAATAAAAGCTAATTGAAATTATTTTTTTTTGTATTATAATAGTATATAAATAATACTAAAATAAAACTGGTTTAGGCTCTTGGCAGGAAACATCATCCTAGCAAACACCCAGAACACCCTTTTAATCACATAGTAACACCCCTGTGGCAACATTTACTAAAATCTAAAAGTTTATAGATAGCATTTGGTTTCCGTAGACTGTTCTGAGACTCAGTCTGTTCGTAACTATAGGGGCTTTCATGCTGATTGCCTGGACATCGACCGTCAGTGCTGGTGTCATCATGGCACGATACTTCAAACCCGATTGGCCCGAAAGGAATATTTTGGGGCAAAGGGTCTGGTTTCAGGTAGGAGCTTGTTTGATACAATGAGGATTTCATTAGTTTTCAAATGTGAATCATCAAGGTTTTTTGTTTCCACAGTTACATCGAATGCTAATGGTCCTCACAGTTCTACTCACCTTGGTCGGCTTTGTTTTGCCTTTTATGTACAGGGGAGGCTGGAGCAAGGTAACACACACACACAGTACACACACACACACATAAATGTCTGCCTGTGAGTAAGACTCATGCTTTAACAGTGTGTCATATTTTCACCCCCTTCATCACACACCTCTGACTGTTCAACAGCACTGCCAATGTGTCAGACCCACATGCTGTCTGCTCAGAATTAAAAAGCGAGTGAATGAATATCCCATGTTCATTAGAAGCGACCCACCATGTGGCATCTTTTTGGCCTGTTTCTGAAAAACATACCCACTTTTCTTGAGGGATTAATCAAGCACAGTGTTGATTGAGTGTCTTATTAAGTCTGCAAGTGCTGGTTTATTTGAGCCTCAAGCCTACACGTGTATCCATCCGTAAGGCTAAGCATGAGGGACACATTTGTGACTCAACAGGGGCATCTGTGACATCCCTCTTGCCAAGTATCTGGCAGAGCTTCTGTGTATGACCAGCAGGGGGCGTCCAGTTCCACGCCAAACCCGACCCCACGGAAATAATACCCATCAACCTTGTACTTTGGCAGCCTTTGAAAAGCTGTTTCCTGTCATTACTCATTGCTTCATGAAGTTTGTTGACAATATTAGCTTCATGTTTACAGTGGATTCTAATATGTATTGTATTATCCACAGCGGGCAGGAATACACCCCTATTTGGGCTGTGTTGTCGTGGCACTCGCTGTCATCCAACCTGTCATTGCACTGTTCAGACCTGCACCAGATGCCTCAAGGTAAATCTTGGTAACAGTACAGCACAATACAGCCAGAAAAGAAATGTCCAGAATGAATTACTAGCATACAATGCAGTATTATTTACTATGTACTGCATATTATTTTCTAATATATTTTTTAATATATTACGTATTAAATATGTTACATTTAAGTGTTTTTGCTATAGTTTAATGCAGATTGTCACAATACATTGCTATGTTGCCATATTGTTGTCAAATTGGATAAAATGTCTCAATATGGTTTAATTGTGTGATGCACATACACTGGCAAATGTAGTGATCGTCTGCGTTTTCTATATGTAGTGTGTGTGAAATAGTATGAGAATGATGGTATTCTGAACATACACAGAGCACTTAATTTGTTTTATAAGGTTCTGTCTTTTAAACGCCTTTGTGTTTCAAAGAAAATTTATACTTTTTAAGGCAGCCCAAACGACGTAACAGGCAATGTGCTGTCTGCCCAGTGCCGTAGCGGACGGCCCCTCGATAACCTCCCCTTGCTGGGTTGCGTCGAAAGACAATGATCTTGTATTGACAATAGCCAGAGATATTGGCAAAAATATCAACTATGGGCAATAATAAGAGGATTTGGCATTTCCAATTAATGTAGGCCTGTTACATTCTTATTTTTATTAGGCCTATTATTATGAAGTTACTTTTATTATTAAATTAAAATTACAATTAATTTGCCCCGCAATTAACCTACTGCATAACTGACGTGCTGCAAGGATAACAAAAGATTAGGCTATTTACTCCTCAATTAAAATAAAAAAAAAGGGTCTTGTATATTATACAATGATTTATAGGCCTATAATTAAAATATTAACACTGCAGTCATCAATAAAAATCAATGAAATAAAAAGCTTTAGCCTATTTCAAGCACTGACTTTCAAAAACAACCTGTTTAACACGAAATATGTTTCTTCTCATTTCTTTTTCAATATATGTATGGGTCACAAGAGAAATATTAAGGGAATAAATGAAAACGGTAAGCTATAGCCTACCGTTATCAGCATATGTTGAAGTAAATTCGTCTCTCGTCATCTCTGAGAGAATATGTGGCATCAGATGCCGAAAGCTCCGTCATTACTCTGTCATTCTGTTTTTACTTTCACTTTCACCGGCATAACTCTTACGTAATGTTTGCACGTTGCTTATGTGATATCCATTGGCTCGCCTTCATGGTTTAAAACAGAAATATTTCCAACATTGCGAATGCGATGTAAGCAATTACCCCCCACCCGTATCGAAAACGTACCGAACCGAAATGTGAATTTTGAATTTTGAACCGTGAAAACGTACCGAATCATAGGTGGGTACCCGAAAGTATAAAAGGGCACCTGCTGAATACATCACCTACTCAGTTGACTGAGGAGACGTAAACAGGCTAGCCGAAGGCATGGCGAGGGGACGCAGCGTCTCGTTCCCTCTAGGGGAACCATGTTTACATGAGTAACCCCAGATGTTCCCCTTCAAGGGAACTTCGAGCTGCGTCCCCCTCTAGGGGACACTTTGGGGAACGATATCCAATCACGCCATGCCGAAGCGCATGCCTGTCCACCTGGTGAGAGAGCACCAATGAGGTGACAGACATATACCAAACCTTTCCTCAGAAAGGGGCCAAGCCACTTACGCCTCGGGCTGCTCACATAACTTGATAGAAACGAGGGAGCCCATTTCTAAAAAAAAAGGGGGGAAAACACCCTAACCAAGCTAGGAGCACAACCACCCTCAGATAGCTATGCTATGTGAGCAATAGTAGCCAGGATACATAAGACCACTGAAGAGGCTGGAAGCCTAGAGAAGCTGAAAGATTGCTACTAACAATCCCAGCTAGAACGCAGCTATCCGCAGATAACTATATCCAAAGGGTCTTATGAAATGAACCTTCCTAAGAGCTGCCCAGACCAAGGGGATGGCTATCTACTTAAAACTCAGCAGGGGAGAAGCACTGTCTAGGCAAGGGCTCAGGGAGACCGCTACTTAAAAACCCTAAGAAGGGGAGCAGTCACTGAGCTAGCACATAGATATCCTCATATAGCTATAGGAAGTAAATTCAGCCTTGGTGAGCAGAAGAGACTGATTTCTAAAACATAAAAAAAAAAATTCCCATTGAACACTGAACACACAGTATGCATACTGAAAAAATAATATGAGTTGTATGATATAGTATGAAATTTGAACATGTACAAATCTATATTATTTTAAAAATGGTCAACACACTATACATACTGCAAAAATGTGTAGGACAGTATGCCATTGCAGTATACAGAGCATCTGAATTTGTTGTATGTTGTCTATACTATTTTAGAAACCTGTTGTGTAGATCACTGTTATATTAATATTAATTCATAAGTCATGTTTTTAAATGTCTTTTCTGTATAACCTGCTCACAGGAGATATATCTTCAACTGGATGCATTTTGGAACAGGAACAGCAGCTCAAGTCGTGGCTGGTAAGAAACTGCTGTGAATAGTCTCGAACGGTTAATTATGTGGCTCAGATACATATTAACAACAATGCTGACAGAAGAAATCAGCTTTGTAAATTCAATAAAATTGAGTTTTGTCTGAATAAAGTAGTTTTTTTGGTAGCTGATTGCATATAATATTTTATAGTTTACTCTTATGGAGGCTAGTCATGTTTTTTATGTCTGATGTTATGACTTTTAATATTAGTTCAGGGGGGCCTGAAGTATTAGCAGTATGTGTTATTAAACACTGTCATAACCAAGCTGTGTGTTTTCATGATTTAGTTGTCACCATCTTCCTTGGGATCCATCAGCAAGCTCTGTTCCTGCCTGCTCCGTGGTCCACAGGGGTCCTGGCAGCCATTGTGGTGTGGTTTGTGCTGGCTGATTTGGTTCTGGAAGTCCATCGAAGGGGATTTTTACCTATAGGTCAGTAAACTGCCCTCAGACATGTGTGTTCTGTATTCATTTCAGAGCAGTTATTTATTGTATGTGTAGTGTTTCTTTGCGCCTATGCAGGAAGTAATATGTGCTGGATAAATCCATTAAATTGTAAAAGGTTTTATACTGCGGTAGTAATTGAAATGTTGGATCTTTCTTTTTGTACTAGAAAAAAAAAAAAAGTTATTTGTGGATGTTTTATTCTTTAATTTAAATGTGGATTCAGTATTCTTATACTTGCGCGTGTTTTTCAGGTAAATATTTTAAAAATGTCAAAATCTACACTGAACATATCAATTCTGATGACAAAGAGGAGATTGTGTTTGTTCCTGATGAGAATGAGACTTATAGTGTGGTGAGTTGAGTTTGTGCCTACTTCCTCATAAGAAGCACATGCATTTCATTGATGATATATCCTGATATGTCCATTGCATTTTCTTTTTCTTTTTCCAGGAATCTTGTTTTAAAAACATAGTTCTGGCTATTTATCTTTGTGGAAATCTGGGATTTCTAACTGTTCTCCTTTGGACCATCAGTGCAGTATGACACACTCTCAGCAGTCGTTTACACATTTAGTCTTTGGGACTTTCACTAATCATGCTTATTTTAAAACAAGCCAAAGAAATATAGAGTAGGACTGAATTACGACAGGCAACCTGTCAATTTACGTTGATTATTAGAATGAAATTGTCTGATTTTAAATCAAATTTCTTGTCTGCTGGGGTATAAATCAATTTAGTATATTTTTAGCACTTATAATTTATTTTTGAAATATATATATGTACAATATTGCTTACCTATACTTTTTTTTTTTTTTTTGTCGTAAAGAACAACTTCTGCTTGTTATTTAAATATCTCTTCCTGATTTGCTTTTTTAAGTCTTTGAATCTAAAGAACATATTTTATGTGTGATGTTTGGGGACCGCATTCAATTAACAATGTTTACAGATCAAGTAATTATTCTGGTCTTGATGCTGTGTATGTTTTTTTCTAAATATTTAGTAATCATGTTTTAACCACCTTATTCTTGATTCTAGTGCCTAATATTGATTTGTGGGTTTAAAGATTGTTACTGTTGCCTGAAATGTAAATATTATTAACAATGTGTCCATTTTGTACAAAGACTGAATGTAGTTTGGATGAAGTGGACCATTTTTTTTTTAGGTTTTTGCACAGATGACAATCTGTGACAGATTGATCAGTTTTTTTTTTAATAAAACTTTTGAAATTAAACTGTGTTACTAGCTTTATCTTCTAAAATATGTGCATACGTTTTGTATTAATCTGTGTCTTTGCACTGTTATTTTAGTCCTTTAGGATCATGGGTACCTGTGCTGCTGGCTGTCTATTTTAAACCATGTTTTGATTAATTACTTCATTTAGATTGAATATCATGCAATTTGTCTGTATCTATAGTAATTTCAGTGTGTGAAGTTTTTTCTCCTGTGAAGTGCTATTTTAATACATAGGCAACATGGTGTGGTTGCTTATCAACATAATTAACTGTTGTAGTATAAATGGACAATTGCCTTTAATTGACATTTATTTTTGAATTCGTATTTTGAACACATGATTGTTCAAACGATATGCAAAGCAAGTATTTTCTTGAGACTGACATGGATTCAAAGGTTAGCAAGCAATACTGTTTTATAAGCATGGCGGTTTGACATAAATATGCACATAATCTGTAGACAACAAAGCAACAGTTCATTTTTAAATAATAGATTGTTTTCTAAGATTAATATAATTACTAAATAGATTTACGGTTTTCATACTGAGTGTAACTGAAGTACTGAAATGTAATCTGGATGCAGAATATTGCATTCAAAAATTGCCCTATATTAGAGCAATCAAATTCAGATTAATTCTTTTTTTTTAAATGTCCCTTTGACAAAAGATACCAAATTGATCTGTTTTCAGTGATATTTAACAAAATACATTCATTTTGTATACATTTTCACTTAAATTTGATCCTAAAACCTTGTAAAACTGCTTCATATTTTCATATAATTTAGGGATATACAAACATTGCCTTACAAGAAAATACAATATGAATATACAATACATATTCTCCTCAACTTCGTAGACAAAACACTAAAAATATGGTTTATAAGTCTCTCCAGATACCACATTAAAGAGGAATCACAAATATGCATGAAACAGTACATTCAAATAACATTTAGGCATCTCGGCATATGCAGATTTTTTCTGGATCATTAACAAAGTCACACAAGCAGCAGTAGCAGGTGTATATGCTGTCACAATAAACAGACTAGTTTGAGCATTGAAAATTCTCTTACGTAAAACAGCTGCAAATTGACGTCAGTGTCCATTTCTACTCATTGCTCGCAAACTCCCCTGCCTCCCAGCGCAGAGCCATGGCACTTTTACGTCGGCCTCCATTGTAGGGTTCAGGAAACTAGTGAGAGAACAATAAAAGTGATTTAATTTTCTATTTTTTCTTTGAAAAAAAAATTCTGCAACCTAATATATTGAAGATACCGATCATTTGAATTCCATGTTGTTGATACGATATCCATCTTTTGCTCTGACACTGCATGTATATTTACATATACTTACTCGATGATCACATGACAAAGCTGAACGATCCATTCTGCATGTTTTCATTGGAGATGAAGGGGATGATTTACATTTAATTGGCACATCATCTGAAATTAAATTCACAACCAAGAATAAACAGATCTTTTCTGACAATGACATGTATGTGTTTGCAGTCTCAGTGATGTAGTCATTACTTCAGATCAACAGAATGAAAAATTCTGTCTGTATTTTTCTCTTGGCATGAAATACCTGTAAACGATGAGCTGTCCAAACGGTTTGGAGACATCAGGAAGTGATCCTTCGAGTAAACATTGGCTCTTTGACGCCTGAGTTCCTCTTCTCGCTGCTTCACCATCATAATCTCCTCATCAACTAGAGATATCGTACTCCTGGACCGCAGCTTAAAAAACGGGTTGTTGAGGAACATCTTCTGTGGAGTTTCCTCAGAGGCAGAATTCAAGTTGAACTCAGATGCACTTCGAATAATGAGGTTCGATGTCTCCAAAATGATGACATTAGGGATATCTTCAGGTCTCCAGTCAGCAGATTTGGAGGACACCATCTTTCCATGCCTTGGACTTGGAGGGAAAGGCTCTGGCTCGAGGATGATAACATTATTGGCGGCCATGTCTTGTTTTTGTGCGCTCTTGGTTGGTGAGGAGGTAATGATGAAAGAAGGCGTCTTGATGCTGAGAGATTTGGATATACTTCCATCATCATCATCCTGGTCTTCCAACATCTTCCTTTTCTCATCGACTTCTTGGCATAGTTTTCCAGGGTTCAAGTTGGCAGATCTCGCCCTTATCTGTACACAGTCACTGGAGGATGATTTTGACATTCCCTTCTCACGCCTTAGGTTCTCCTCACGATCCAAGGTTAGGCGAATCTCCTTCTCAGTTGGGGTCTCTGGATCATCAAATGGTGATCTGTAGCTAGAGTCGTCCAGACCTGAATCCTCAGAGCAAGGGCTGAACTGGGTGTGTGCGTAATCCTCTACAAGCGACAAGCTCTCAAGATCCCTCTTCGGCCTTTCGATGTTGCGGACAGGTGTATACATGGAACTGTGACTACCTTGGCAGGTGCCAGATCGAGTTGTTGGTGTGCTTGGATGGTGTGCCAAGTTTTTTGTTTGCTCTTCGATCTCTAGCCACTGCTGGCGAGCAACTTTGAAATCCACATGTTCTGTGCTGACATTCTCGCTTTTCATTTCCTGAATCACACAATAATCTTTCGGCACCTTTTTGCTGGAATCGGATTTGACGGAATCAAATGAATTGCTCTTGTGGGTTGCTGAACCTCGTCCAAGCTCCTCATCGTCTTCGGAAATCTTGGACAAGCCATGGAACAGTGTGGAAGGATTGTAAGATATCTCTTGCGCTTGCTGAACTGGCTCATTTTCTGGTTGTTCTAGCACTTCTTCTCCCACCGGAATCTCCAGCTCTTCAGTTTCCTTTGAAATGTCCTCAGTATTCCCAACTGTAGGTTTTTGAATAAAGAGTTCTTGTGCACTCAGCTCAAGACTGTCAATGTAGGAATCATCATCTTCCTTATTTATGGAGGAAGAGAAGATGTTCCTCCATTTATCATCGGTGTCGCTGTCTGATGACACCGCAGCTATTTCGACCCGAAGACACTCTTCTAGCTCATCTGGGTCATGGCAAGACTCTGTGGAGACGTCTGACAGAACTTCCTCTCGGATGTAGTGCTCAAGGATGGTTTCTTCTGGATCTTCACATCCAAAACTTTCTAAGATGGCTTCCTGTGAGTCAATACCCAATTGGTCTAACATATCTCCATCGTCAACATCATCTGGTTGGGGTGCTATGTTCTCCGCTATGTTCTCCATTGGTTCCTGTCTTAGAGAATCTTTTCTCTTATGCGTGACATCATTCTCATACACGCTCTCAGCACTTGACGGAGTGTCAGATATTGAAGAGGTAATTGACTCATTGCGATAAAGTTCTTCTTGAGTATCCTCCAAGACAAGCGCCTCTTTCGCACTGCAAACATCTTCCAGATCATCAGCCTTGGTCTCCGTAGGAGGTAAGCCTGCTAAAATGTCAGCCACAACTTTTGCACTAATGGACTCTAAAATGTCAGCATCATAACAGACTTGTTCATCGTTGTTTCCTGTGTCCTTGCTCTCAGGTAACTCAGTCTCCAGGACTTCCATTTCACAGTCAATTATGTTTGCTGTGCTGGAGTTTTCACTTGTCTCCATGGTTACAGGCTCAGACGGGGACTTCAGCTCTGTATGCTCTGGACTCTCAGGATGAGAACAACCTGCAATCTCTTCCAGTCTATCCACCTCTTCAGGCTCAGTCGTAGCTCCCTGCAAGAGAAAAAGACAACAAATAAATTCAAAAGCAGCAAGATAAATCTCATTTCCCTAATCACCAAAACATTCAAAGCATATCAAAGCTAATTTGCACCCACTCATGTTTAGTACAGTTCTTATGTAATGCTAAATTTCCGAGAAAGTTTTTCAGGGCTTAAGTTTTCAGTCTTAAGGGGTTACCTGAGCTTGAGCTGATGTGGTTTAAAGTAATGTTCCTTGCAAGAGGTTCTGAGTTTAAAACCTACTTGAGAGATAACTTTTACAAATAAATTAAAACCACTAAAATATTTAGAAATGGTGGCACAATTGATTGCATTTTATGTTGAGTAATTTATTTCTGTTTTTTAATGGTTCCATTAACAATTTGAGGAACAAATGCGATTCTGTTGTTAATTTTAAATAAGATAGAGAAAAAAATGTGGCACATTGTCATACGAACAACGTTTTAGGTATCAAGCCTTACAGTATGTACAGTAGGCCTACAACACATGGTTGATGGTTAATGGAGTCGAAATTAACTAATTGCGGTTAGTAAGTAGGCCTAGGCTATGTGAGATTGATACTGCTCCGACTGACTCATAAGTTTTTCTGTATCACTAAAAACGGACTCACTTCCAGCCTATTTAATGTAAAAAAAAAAATAAAACAGAAAAACCGCCCGGTAAGGATAGTATTCTGAGTGAAATTACCTCAGGTAGCTTGCTGCATCCATTTTTTCAGTAAAGTAGAAATGAGATCACATAATCAAAAATTCTAATGGGAACTAAGATGGAAAAAAAGTGAGTGAAGCACTCCTGAACACGTCAAGCAACAGCTATGATTTTTCCCCTAATCTTGAGGCTCAAGTGTTGAAAGGCACCATGTTGTTATATTTGCACAGCACTTCAAAAACCAGGTTAGTTAAGTGTTAGTTTAATTCTGCATAAAAATTCTTACCTTTTGAAATGACTCTGCCAAATCGCACTTTTACATCTGTTTAACACAGTGTGAAAGCTATTTTTAACATGTACAAACAAGCATTTGAAATTCACCTTGGCTTCCTTATGTAAAAAATGCAACATATATGCCCTATATGAGATTATTCCAGTGTATAAGAATAAAGTGGAAGCAATTGTTTACTATTGCAGTGATTTTTTTTTTTCCACAAAAGTGGGTTTTAGTAGGCAGAAATAAGTAGATTCATTATATAAGACTGCAGAACTGGCTCTTCTCCTCATGCATGAAACTTTTGTCCCGCAGTTAAGCAGCATAGGCTCTGGATCAGACCAGGAAAGGAAGAGAAAGAAGAAAATCCCTTGAGGGCGAAATCCTCTGACTGAACATTCTCACTGACCACAGGTTTTTAAAAAAAAATATTTTCATATTTGTATACATATTGAGAGGGCATATTATGTGAGAATTAACAATCAATCACACATTGCACGTCGTTATTTGTCTTGTCTTGTTGATGCGCCACTGCAGAGCGTTTGATCATGGCAGCGTGGTTTGTTTACATGGATTTTTCTGATCTCATTCGTACCAACTGCCGAGTGCCAAAGTGATGTGTGATCTAACGCTCAAACTATTTCTGACAGACGAAATCAGCTGCCATGGGGATTAGAAAGGGGATTTTTTTCCCCTCAGAACATCAAAACCACAATTACACACTTTCATGCTGAAAATAACGTGATATCAGTACAATATGGAAGTTGTGCTGAAATCAAAATGCACAAATTGACAGCACCATTCACAGATTTCATAAGCTGTTTACATCACTTGAAATGGCTTGAAATACTTTCACTCTCTAGCTTTTCCTTGATGTCCGTTTGGTATAATTACCACCACTGCATGAAAGTCTCCACAATCATTCAAAACTCAAGCGGCATGCTAATGCGACCACTAAAAACAGTCAAAATTATGTGAAATTACCATCCACTTCAGCGCCTGCCCATTTCACCCCAATCAAACTACACAAAGGCACAAAGCCTCATGAAAATGACAAGCGGTAAAGTGTTGACTACCATGGCAACACCCCCCTACTCGACGACTCCTCTAGCAGCTCAGCTTGTGAGAAAACTTCCAACACTCTCGCACCCTCTCCGTCTCAGCATTTGTGTCATGACAATCTGTATTCCATAAATTATTCAGTGACAATAACATTTGCATTGAAGGCAGACGGAGGTACCAGCGTGTCCCAGTACCTACCGTGAGCTTTAGAAACAGGAGCCAGAAGGAGATCATCTCCACCTTGCCAAGAAAATCTTCTCAGTGGAACCCGTAAGCACTCTGGGCTTGAGTAAATATGTTGTGGATGCATGGATAGAAAGTGAACTTGGTCTGATACAGGAGTTATTGGCAGAAATGTCATTGCGAGTTGGTCTGATGTCACTGATGTTGGCGTGAGTGGTCACCTCAGGGCATCTTCCTGGTACGAACACTCAACTCTGATTGGTCGCTCCATTGTTTTTGCTGACTGATCAATAAGTGGCTTGTCAGTGAGGTCATGTGTCACTTTCTGATGGATTTCCTTAAATGACTTCTTTTAGGAAGTGATGCCATTGGGAATGTAACAGTTTGGGGTGGAGCTATCACTAATAAATACAACTGAGAGATACATTTTTAACTATTTCAGTATCAAAAAGTTGTGTGCATCATTGTGTGAGCATAGATCATTGAAAAAGAGCATTTTAGGCTCAAGGTTGCTCTATTCAGAATGAAATAATAACCTGCGTGGAGCATCACAGTAACAGGTGCTGGGGGGCCAGAGCGTAGGTGGCCATTCAGACATATGTGACTGGCACTGAGCCCTTGGATATGTTCTCAGATGAGAAAAAATGTCACTATGCGGCATGAGAGCACTGCAGACTAAGATACAAATGTCTCAAATAGAGAATTTTGAGAGATTTATCAGCTTGAATAGAAAAATGACTTGAATGATAGTGTTCGTTTTATTTATACATGACTATAAAAAAATTGATTACATGTACTTGTTGAGAAAATATTTTGCGAAGCTGCTTGTAAATAGTAAAAAGTGGCTTTAATACAGCAACAGAATAAATATTAATAAATATATGTGAATGAAGAACAAATAATACTTTAGACCTTGACCGAATATGACACACACAATTTAATCAAGAAAATAATCCATTATAATACATGAAATTTAGTGAATTTTCAGTTATAAATGTGGTTTAAATTTATAAAGGATCATACCTGATTTTAAGTTGTAATTATAAGCCATTATGAATACTGGATTTTATGAATACATTTATGCATACAGGCTTAGAAAATGTTACCCATATTTTTGCTGACATATTAATAGGAGTTCGTGCAGTTCTCTGCTCTGCTCTGCATTAATGGGAGTGTGAAATGGAGCAGGAGACTTTCTCATCTCACACACACACACACTCACACACACACACACACGCCTCCACTCACCCACGCGGACACTTTAATTCACTCTAAAACACACACTCACACACCCACACACACACATTCAGCTGAGAAGCCCAGTGCTAATGTTGTCTGACAACATCTCAGATCTCGTATTCCACGTTTTCTGAAGTGCTTGAGGTTTGTACAAGCAGCCTGGGATTAATTAAACTTTCACAGTTTCTGTTTCTCAGGTTGTTCCACAGCGACGGCAACATTTTCATGCTTAAGGGTCAAATCAGAGAAGATGTTGATGAATACAAGCCCAAAATAATGAGTTTTATTGAAACTGATCCATAATTCTTAAAAATCCATGACATGCAAGCTTATAAAAAATGTAACAATATACATACCAAATATCAATGCAAGTACTTTTTCGATCTTATTTCTCACATGTATAATGCAACAATATTAAGTCTGATATAAAATACAGTAGAAAGAGCAAACAAAAATCGAAATCTCTAAAAAAATACAGACTGCAGATAAAAACCTCATGCAAGCGTACACTCTCACACACTTGTTTGCAAAAAATCAAGTCTCTTTAGACCATATCAGCACAAATCCAGTGAGTTTAGCATATGTTTGTCATAGCATCTCAATAATATTACATTCTTTACAGCACCCCAGAAGAAAATATAACAGCAATCCAGCACAATCTCCATATAAAACCAACAGCATGACACCTAAACAAGTTTATTCACCCCATATTCATTTTCATAAAGTAGAAGTCTGACTATTCATAAAGTTCTCAGTGTCCTACCTTGTTGTGTTACGAGCAGAGAGAGGACAGGGTACGTGCTCAGCGATTCTGTCTTGGCTGAAGCTCTGCTTCTCTGTAACCACAGAGACTGTGACTTACTCTGAATGTACCAGAAACAGCCAATAGCTGAGCAGCCTCAGCCGTTCCGACACACGCACACAGTTGCACAAGGAATTTCTTAAAATCTTTCTGTCAATCAAGCATATTCTCAAGGTTTCATGTCATGGGTTTCTCATCTTTTGAGAATGGGATCGGCCATAATACGGTTTATGACTGTCCTCTCAAAACCTGCCCTCTGCACTGAAGATCAAGTGACTCAGAAATAATATTGCAGTTGTAAACACTTGTCACTTCTTTTAGACCAATTTTGATGTGAATCATGTCAACATGTCAACAAATACCAGACTGCAAAATATTTTTGTAGTTTTACTGTAAGGCAGGATAAATTTACTTCCAAAGCAAAATGTGTAAAATACTAAAACTTGTTTATTTAAAAGAATGTAACTTGTTTTCTGAATAAAAGTATATTTAAATATATTTTTTACTCAGTTGGTTATTTTTTTCCGGCTTTTTCTTTCTCTAAAAATTGCAAAATTTATGGTTAACAAAAAATTTAATATTCTCTAAAACAAAATTCTTAATATCTTCTGCTGTATTTAAAATAGTAATAAAAAAAATTAAGTACATGTATATTGTTTTAGGGATGTTTATATATTTTTTTGTACTAGAAAATGTGACAACATCACTGATTAAAAATATATAACTATAGCATATTGTATTTTTTCAACCGTTTGTAAAAAACAAAAGAGTGATATCAGTCGTGTTGAAATATAATTTCTGGTGCAAAAGTAAGTCACCAGATATTTTTTCCTATTTGATTAAAAAAGACAAAAATGAAAAAATATTACCAACAAACAGCATAATTTACAGAGCAGTCAAATGAAGAACATTATGTACAACATGAAATGATGAACAAATGCTGTTTTTGGCACGCAAATATGATTCATGTCATAAGCAGTTTTTTTTTTCTTCCCCAGATCAGTCTCTCAGTCCATTTCATCCTCATCAGGAAATACAAGATGTCGACATTTGAAGAGGTTACATATATTTTCCTAGTTGAGACAGTCTGATTGGCAGCGCTGTGGAGAGGACAGTAAAAATACTTCAGTTTAACCACACCTAGATATTCTGCATGCAGGTGGTTAGTTTGTTTCAAGCCAATCAAAATCCAGTACTATCCAATCAATCAAATCAATTGATTTGTCTTCGGCCTGTCATTAGAGAAGATGATTAACACATTCATCCTGCACTGGTGTGCCAAAATCAGGGGATGACAAAACAGAGAAAACATTGAATATGCAGAACGTTAGCATTTATTTTGCGCCTTATGTAATGCAAGCCAAGGATTATTACATAACACTCTATTTAGCAGATGTTATGAACGCCCTCTTGAGCAGACACGACGTCTTAAAAGCTACCAAGGACAAAGTGCTCAATTATAGCTGATGGACGAGAACGGTAAATTACTCTGGTGGAGAAAAAAAAAGACAAAACTACCCTAAATCACATATTAGCTGTCGGAAACGTCTGAACCTATAATGAAACAAAATAAAGACAGTGTGTAAAGAATGAATAATGGTTCCGAAAGATATCTTAGAAAGCTATTATGTTTTATCAGCCATTACACACATTTACCATGGTAACCATAGCCTCTGCCACCATACCATAGAAATTGTTACTACAATAAGTGACTATGGGATTTATTTTCTGAATATTTTATTTTTGACAGTGTTGCCACAGTTTTTACAGGTTTTTCACAGTTTTTTTACTATATAGCTAGCATGGTATATTTTTGTGCTATGGTAAATCCATAATAAATGTATTACTTCAAAAACAGTCAATGTACTAACACAAAAGTACCACAGCAGCAAGTTAACATATCAAAGCATATATATATATATTTTTTATTAATCATATAAAAACAAAACAGTTGTTATAAGACAAACAGTAAGTTTCATTTCATGCATTTTTCCAAGTGTGGATGCTTCAAACATATGAAACCCTGACAAAATGTGAAGATATAGACAGACCACCAGGTGGAAGTAAAGCAGCAAGAGTTTACTTGAGGAGACTGGTTCACATTAATACTCCCCTGACAGATATTTTAGTTGATGATAAGTCATATCTAGTATTTTTAGAGGTCTGGCTGTCAGTAATGTTTCTTTGCTTTCTTAAAGTTACAATAAGGTTCGACATCAGTTAAAAGTATTAGGTATCATGGACTAAGAATGAACATTTCTAAAGCAATTATTAATTGTTTATACTGTATGTGACTCATGTTTAATCATAATACATTAACTAATGTTAATTTATACAACAAAAAAATTTCAAAATGTATTGGCATATGTAGATATTAGCATTAACCAAGATTAATAAATGGTATGAAAGTGGTTGTTCATGATACCTGATGCATTAAAGGAACTGTCCACCCAAAAATGAAAATTCTGTCATAATTTACTCTCATTTAGTTTCAAATCTGTATGACTTACTTCCTTCTGTGGAACACTCTATAAAAGAACTTTGAGATCCAAACAACACTGGAGCCAACTCACTTCAGTTGTTAAGACATTTCTCAAAATATCTTCTTTTGAGTAAATAATGCTGATTAAAGGCCCATTCACACCAAGGATGATAACTATAACAATAACTATAAAGTTTTAATAATCATTCCAATTCTGTGAGAATGAAGGAGTCAAATTGCTTTCAGAACAAATTTTTTTCCAGCTCATGAACGATAAAATCATTGATCCAGATTTAATGAGCTTGAGCATTTAATGCGACATAAAGGCAGAAATTTCTTGTGCATTGGTGTGGATGCTATTATAGTTATCGTTATAGTTATCTTTACTTTCCTGAAAGCGTGGCGGAGGCTGAAATTGTTGAATGAAGTCATTATTTTCATTTTCTTTGCGCGAAAAGGCATTCTTGTAGGTTCATAACATTAAAGTTGAACCACTGATGTCACATGGAATATTTTAACAATGTCCTTGCTACCTTTCTGGGCATTGAACATTTCAGATGCATTGTGTCTATGCAGGGTCAAAAAGCTCTCGGATCTTAATTTGTCGGATCTTAAATCGCTCTTAATTCGTGTTCTGAAGATGAATGAAGGTATTACGGGTTCGGAATGACACGAGGGTGAGTAATTAATGACAGAATTTTAATTTTTGGGTGAACTATCCCTTTAATGTTAACATATGGAACCTTATTGTAAAGGGTTACCAATAACTCAAAGAAATGCAAGGAACTAAAAGTTAGTATGGAATTAGAAACCAAATTGTCTTCTCACTTTTCGAATGGTGCCTGTGTCTGTCGGGTCTTTGGTTTCATTTCCAAGCATCTGTCTTCCAGAGCTGGAGGTTCTGATGGCACTAGGCCTGATCTCAGAACGGTACACCGTACTGTTGGGTTTGAAGATCTTGCTGCGGTAGCCCAGAGGGTGGTACGACAAAGTGGCTTCCTCAGAATCTTCACCATCATCATCATCACTAATAACTACCAGTTCAGCCTGGATTCCTTCATCCTCCTCATCTGATTCAACGTTCTGATAGCCCATGAAGATCATGGTAACAGGTTCACCAGATTCCACCTCAGCAGGGAGGAAGCTCATAAAGTTGACACTAGAGTCTTCCTTTTGATTCAGAGGGGAAAACCGTCCGAATCCCAGCCCGGAGTCTGCTGTTGGAGTTATCCGAAGCTGTTCCTCATACTCTTGTATGAGAGAAGATGCTGGGCTGATCCTGGTTATGCCGCTGTATTCGCTATTAGCATATGATCCATTTTGAGCCAGTTGGTTGGTGCCCAAATACTGGTTGGTTTTAGTGGTTGGAATGTAAAGGGCTTCTTGTTTGGTAAAGTTCTCAGCCTGAAAGGGACTCTGGTTCTTGTTGGGCATCTGAAGGCCATGAAGGCTGATGTAGCCTCTTTCTGTCCTCTGAGGGGTTGTAGGTCGACTGAATGGGCTTGAAAACACTGGTTCGTGGTATTCCACATCTGTTGGGTCTTTCTTCTCTGAGGCTTTCATCAGAAGTTCCTCTACTTCAAGAGGGCTCATCTCATTCATGTCGTTCTGGGAGTCCCGTCCATCAGGTGCTAAAGCATAGACAGATTTATGCCCATCATCATAGACTTTGATGCCTTGTTGTTGGAGATCCAGAGGTGCGATGGTGGCTGTGGAAAGGATGTGACTCTCACCAGAGCGGAGATCTTTTTCCACACTGATCTTCATGGTGTATGTAGCTGAAGGAAATAACAGTGTTAAACACAAACCACCACAAACCAAATCAAGAGATTAAAAAAAATGTATAAAAAATATTTATCAGTAGTTAAATGTTTTTGAAAGATGTTTCTTACTATATATTTACCAAGGCTGCATTCATTTGAAAAATACAGTAAAAACACTAATATTGTGCATTATTATTATTACAATTTACTAAAAAATGTTGTATTTCAACACATTTTAAAATGTAATTTATTTCTGTGGTAAAGCTGAATTTTCAGCATTATTAATCCAGTCTTCAGTGTTTTATGATCCTTCATGAAATCATTCTAAAATGCTGATTTGGTGCTCAATAAACATTTCTTATTAATATCAATGTTGAAAACAGTTTTGCTGCTTAATATTTTTGTGAAAACCATTATGCATTTTTTCATAGTTTTTTATTAAATAGAAAGTTGAAAAGAACAACATTTGTTAAAAATAAAGTCTTTACTGTCATTTACTTGGTGGAGGAACTATTCTAGATAATATGATTAATATGCTTACAAATATCCCCTACCCATGATAAAAACACTGTAGCACAGGGGCTCTACAGTGGCTTATTGCTTTAATAAAAAACGTGTCATCTTGCAGTCTGTAGCTAGATACAATATCCTGTTCAGCTGGTGATATTTTGATTATTGGGCCTCTTTCATAATTCTGTGTCATGCTCATAATTACAGTCATGGATAACATCTTTTTTTTTCATTAAAAAATGAAAACAGCATTTACGCACCTTGAATTGCTATAATTACAGAAGTGGACAGTTTGATGACATGTTCTAAACATCCTGACATATTTGTGCAATATTTCAAGTGCTCATTATATCTGCAAATAGTTGGTGGTGTAAACAAAGCCTTCGCTGTACCTTTTTTCTCCTGTTCTTCATCAGATTCATGTTTTCCTGGCTTGACACTTCTCCTCCTGGTTTTGGGGGTATAGGACTTTGGGACATCAGGTATGGCAGTGTAGATGTATTGGACTGGCTCTGTAAGAAGCAATGTGTAGGTCTGTTGAGGAAGCGTCAATGCTGTACAAATAGCAATATAGCAAAAATAATAATTTTCTTTACCTGGCCGGATATTTGCATTTACTTCCTGCAGGGAAATACAGTAGTTTGTGCAGTACCAAACCCAGATTTGATGAAGAGATAAGAAGAACAAAACCAAGTTTCAAACCATACAAAACACACCAGATCACATATCACGCAAACCGATCCTATCCTCACAGCAGCAACTGGCATCAAACAATTTTATCTTGACTTCAATTTGAAACCGAGGAGCATCTTCACAGCATGCTGCATTGTAATGATTTCCCTTTTTCCCAACTCAAAAGCTGATCCAATTTAAGTGGCTCGGTGTTGTAATAAGCGGCAAGGAGTCTCCAGGCTTTTTAAAGTGATTACACAAGCAATACCTTTATAATGTCCTCTGGAGTTTTCTCCACCTCCTTCAGTTGTTTCAGAAGAATTTCCTCTTTTGCAGAAAGCTCCAGCTCTTGTGTCTCAAGAACCGCAATTTCCTGCTCTATTCTGCAAAAGATGCAGGCAAATATTTGTATATATTATTTATATACATATTTATTTATATTTTTGCTGATTGTTCAGTTGAGCTAAGTTATATTTGTATGAAATAATGCAACACATTTGTTTTTACTTATAAAAGCATAGTTCATCCAAAAATGAAAATTCTGTCTTGATTTACTCAACCTCGTGTCGATCCAAACCTGTATGACTTTATTTACTCTGCAGAACACAAATGTTTTTGTCCATACAATGAAAGTAAAAGGGGTGTAAAACAACATTGGACCCCACTGATTTTTATTGACTGGAAAACAAATAATACTGAGACATTTTTCAAAGTATCTTCTTCTGTGTTTTTTCTAAAAGAAATAAAGTTATACAGGTTTAGACGTGAACAGGTGAGTAAATGATGACGCAATTTTCATTTTTGAGTGAATTATTATTATTATTATGCCTGTGTGCAAACAATTTGAATTTATAGAGTTTCCATAAATCCTGATTCAGACCCAGACCAACATGTTGGAAACTGATTATTATTCATTATTTCATTTATTATTTGTTTGTATACAAAATCTTGATTTCAGAACAACACACAAACAAATTAAATAAAAGATTATAACATATAAATGTCACCTAATTTACATCTCCCGTCCCTAAATAGGCTTTTTCCCTAAAACATAAAATAATAAGGTAAACTAAACATTTTAAAATATTTAAATAAAAAATATTCAAACAGAAGTACAAGCACAGGTCTGATTTCTGATTATTAAAAACAAGTACAGCTCTGGTTTCTTTTCAACTAATACTTCATTATTGTACATAATCCATCTATGTAGTCTAATTTAGTACTCTACCAAATTATAACACAGGTATTTATTGATTCATTGATTGTATGCCATAAAAAAAAAAAAAAGTCAACGACTGTAAAAATGTGTAAAAAGTAGACTGCTTTCATGAAAGTCACTCTAATGGCACCTCCTTGTGTAATTTTTCGGTATTGTTCAATCTTTATGGCATAAACATTCTTTATGGCATGTGCAGAGAGCGGATGATACTGAAAATTGAGTTTTAGTTTCAGAGTTTCAGAATGATTACCCTCATTTATGTTTTGTTTGGGGCCATGAACCTATACGTCAAGATAACTTACAGGAGATGACAAGCCTCCTCTCTCCTGTGATTGTGGGGATTCTCATCAGATTGCTTTTTCGCTCTTAATCCATCTGATTTAAACAGCAGCCATCATATTGTGGAGTCTATTTGTAAAGAGAAAGCTCTTTGGAGATTTGAGTCATTTAAGGCCTTCAAATCGATCTTAAAGGGATAGTTCACCAAAAAATGAAAATTTGATGTTTATCTGCTTACCCCCAGGGCATCCAAGATGTAGGTGACTTTGTTTCTTCAGTAGAACACAAACGAAGATTTTTAACTCAAACCGTTGCAGTCTGTCAGTCTTATAATGGAAGTGAATGGGAATCACGACTTTGAGAGTCAAAAAAACATACACAAACAAAACCAAATTAAACCCTGCAGCTCGTGACGATACATTGATGTGTAAAGACATGAAGCGATCGGTCTGTGCAAGAAACTGAACAGTATTTATATCATTTTTTACCTCTGATTCACTGCAATGTCTGAACTGTCCTGAGCGCGTCCTCGACAGCCGGTGCGTGATGCATCTTCTTCTTCTTCTTGTTTTACGGCGGATCGCAGACTTATAAGTCCATTACCGCCACCTATCTCTCAAATGGACCATTGACACTATCTACAATCTCAATTAGGAGTGTCAATGGTCCATTTGAGAGATAGGTGGCGGTAATGCGCTTATAAGTCTGTGATCCGCCGTAAAGCAAGAAGAAGAAGACGCATCACGTGCCGGCTGTCGAGGATGCGCTCAGGACAGTTCAGACATTGCAATGAATCAGAGGTAAAAAACAATATAAATACTCGTCACGAGCCGCAGGGTTTAATTTGGTTTTGTTTGTGTATGTTTCTTTTTACTCTCAAGTTAAAAATCTTCGTTTGTGTTCTACTGAAGAAACAAAGTCACCTACATCTTGGATGCCCTGGGGGTAAGCAGATAAACATCAAATTTTCATTTTTGGGTGAACTATCCCTTTAACAACTGCTGGAAAGCAAACTTCCTTTCCATCTATATAAAGCTCCACAGGGAGAAATCAGGCAGGGAGTGTGTCTCTCAGCACTGTATGGGAACTCTCATTATAAGAGAGTGGTTCTAGCTGAAAAAGATTTTTTCCTCGGTTATTTTGTCCTTTTGTTAGTCATCCTTCCTGCTTCAGGTATGACCTCCTGCGTAATGGTTGTTTTTTTCCAGACAAAGCTTGTCGTAAGTCAACAGGCTCTCACTGCCAAGGCGGGTTGCGTAAGTAGACAGTTTATGTAATACTGTGAGTGAGGTCTGTCTGTCTAACCCTTGGCTAACACTGAAAGCCCATCACAGTGGTTAAACAAGAATACTCCAATTGCTTCTCTCAATCAAGATGAAGCTGTGAACCCTGCACACCATTAGTGATTGAGTTTTTTTCCCTTTTCATTTGTGGAGATGTGAGAGTACCTGTCGATATTGCTCTGCAGGAGTTTAGCCTGCTGCTGGTTATCTTCAGTCTGGGCCTTCACAGATTCCTGCTCCTCTTCGCTCAGGGTGCTCAATCCTTCCATCAGCCATTGTTCCCGTACAGTTTTTTTCTATTTGTTCAAAGAAGGCCATAGCATATTGTGTCAGCCAGTTTATTTATTTACATTACAGTGTTGTAAATTAATAATAAATTACACCTTTACTTTACAAATTACCCACCTACATAATAAAATCACAAAGTGCAAACACATTCTGCTGCAATAATTTAATGATCATATTAAATATGTTAGATATTTACTAGATATATGCTGGAAATATATTAGATATTTCAGCATTTTCAAACATTCATTCAACTATTCATCTATGAATTTATTAATATTTATTATTCTATTAATAATAAACATTTTTATTACATATATATATATATATATATACATTCATATATTCTATCTATAAAATTATAGAGAGAATATATGAATGCATTTATTTTTATGTAATTTTTAAATTATATTTTTATA